GGGGAGGGGAAGGAAGCTGTTCCATGGTCAGCCTCAGTTGATCCCCACAAACAGGGGTCTTCAGCCACCAGCAACCCCAGAGCATCAACACAGGCCAGTTATAGGAACTCTTTCTATCAATCTTGAAAAGCAGGGGCATGGTGGGGGGACTCCTTTTTCAATCAAATGCTGCATTTGGGGAGGGGATGCTTCAGGGGGCGGCAGAGGCAAGTCTTCAGCCTCCTCCAAGCGTTCTCTCCCAAGGTCAGCCTCTTGTCAGACCCCTTTGATGCCTCTGCTGTCTCTTCTGCAGGTGAGGTCGCCAGTCCCGTGGAGCCAGCAATTACCGGTAGGTTGAACAAGGGAGTGGGTAAGCTCCATTTCTCTCCATCCCTGCCCCATTTCCGGCTCTTTCCAGGGCAGCCTGTTTCTACTAGTGCCTCCCCTGAAATCTGCCCCCAGCCCAGCCTCCTCCCTCCCTCTCTTTCTCGGACAGGCGTGGCCCCTGTGAGCTTTGCACAGGCAGATCGATCCCATACAGAGGAGAGCAACGGGGACATGCTCCACAGTGACGCCTCCAACCTCGGTTCCTTCAGCCTGGACCCTCTCCCCGGAGACGCACAGAGCGGTGGGCCAGGGATCGTGCAAGGGGCTCTTTCCCATGGAGCTGCTGCAGGGGCGGGGAGCGGGGAGGTGGCCCTATGTCCCACAGTGGGGAGGGAAGCCTCAGGGGCTGGGCGAAGGCTGGCGGCCCACGGTTTCTGTGGCTCTCCGGCAAGGGAAACAGAAGGTGCTCCCTGGCTTGGAAGGGAGAAGCCGCAAACTAGTGTCCCTCCACTGCGTTTTGGTCCTCGGGCAGGGAAGAGACGGGTACTCTTGTTCCCACAGATCCGGCCATGGAGGCGCCCGCTCACTCCCACGAGTCCCAGGAAAGTAAGTTCTTCCTGGGTTGGGGAATCACAGCCAATGGAGCACTGGGGGGGGGGGGGCAGTGCCATTCTTCTGCCCTGGCACCATTCCTGGCTCCATTGTCCTGGGTGGGGTCCCATGTGGCTATGGGTTAAGGGCTGGCCAGCGGGAGGTGGTGGTACAGTGCATTCACCCTTCTCTTTCTAGGCTTGGACCACGAAGTCGATTCGGAGGAGTCTCTGACATCCCCAGATAAGTATCCCCGTGGCGCTTTGCTGGCCTGTGGCCTCCCTTTAAAGAGCTGCTTGCAAATCTGGGGCTGACCACGTCCTGCTGCCATGGAGGGGAGGGGAAAGTCACCTTCCCACCAGGTGGGGGAAAGAGGCCATATGTGTGGGGGGTACGTGTGAAGACATCACACCCCACTTGCTTGGGAAAGATGCCTCTTCCTGATGGTCTCCGTGGCTGCTGTGGGAGATTTTCCGTGAGGTACCCCTGTATCTGTTAGAGGACACTCCAGGTTGCCCAAATCGGTGGCATACAATTAATTAATTTGCTTTGATGCTAGAGCACCTGGGTCCCTGGTTCGCCTGGCAGGAGAGCTCCCCGAGGCTTGGGTTGGCAGGTCTGAAGCCTTCCTGCCACGTTCCTTCCAAGCAGAGCTCCAGCTGGGGGGTCTCCTGCAGACCAAACACAGCTCTGTCCTGAGCTCTCCAGGAGGGGGACCACAGGGACGCAACCGTGCCAGCCCTTTCAGAGGGTTCCCCATGGGGGAGGCTGCCCCAGCGGTGCAGGGCAAGGTAATGAACATCTTTTCTCCTCCATAGGCATGTGACGAGGGCTGCTGGTACCTCCTCCCGCCCTCCTTGAAGATCCTGAGATGCCCCAGTTGACTGCAAGGACCTGCCTGCTCTTGTGCTCTCTGACCCGGATCCATTTCTCTGCCTGTCCCCTTGCCCCTGGTTCCTGCCACAGCTAGGCGCAGAATAGATTTGTGTGTGCGTGGATGCAGTGTGGGAGAGTGGACAATGGCACCAGTGTGCTCCTCTGAGCTTGCAGCATCCTCTTGTCCTCTGACACACCCCCTTGTGCCCACTGGCCAGAGGAGCGAGGGCTGCAGCTCTTCTTCCAGTGATGGAGTCGAAGGGGTCCCATGTGGCATTTGGCCACCCCTCACTCTAGAGCATAAACGTCTACGTGCTCCCAGTCCCTTCCCCGTTAGCGCTTGGGAGCGGTTGTACCACAATGTCCCCTTGGCAGGAAGTCGGTGACTCACCAGTGCGAGCAGGGCCCACTCCCAACGTGCTGACCGCCCTCCTAGGCACCTCCAGGGCCGCGTGCAGCCTGCTGATGGCTCTGCTTGGAGAATCCCTGCAGGAAGTGGAGGGCCAGGCCTGCAGAGGGAAGGGGGATTATGGGCTTGAGACACCTGCCTCCCTGCACTGAGCTAGAGCCCAGCCAAGGAGCCCCTGCAGATGATCCTGTGGCCCTCGGGGCAATCCAAGGGCTCAGAGGTCAGCAAGCACCTGCTGGCAGAGTCAGAACTGGGGGGGCAGACAATGAGGCAGCCTGGCAGCATCCTTGAGGGTGGGAGCAGGAGGGGCCTGAGCGAGACCTGCAGCTTTTGGAGGGAGGAGGATTGGGAGAGGTCCAGGCCTCCCCCACATTCCCCCGATGGAATCTTCAGGCAGCCACTGTTCTTCAGGCGGGGGGCTGGGTGAGGGGCACCTCTTGGCCCTTGCCAGCTTCTGAAGAGCCGGCTAGAGATTCAGCCAGTCGGCAGCTGTACTCCCCAAACCTGCTCCATTTGCCCCCTGAGGAACTGGCCCAGAGCCTTAATGGAGGGTTGCCGAGAAATTCCAGGATGGGGTGGAGACCCCCAGGGGTGCAGAGCAGTCTTCTGTCCCTGGACAAGATGATCCCCGTGTCCCTTATGGTTCTACAGAGTGGGTGCCTAAGCAAAACTGGCTTTATTCGGTCCACCTCCCTTGGCATAAGTCTGTCAGGAGCCACACAGGCTGCGGCGACCTGCAGTTCAATCACAATCTTTAGATTTGGGAGGCTGAAGTTGTTGTGAAGGAGGATGCAAGGTTTGTTGGCTATGGACACTGACCTGGCTGTGTGTGTGTGTGTGTGTGTGTGCGTGCATGGGTGTAGGGATTTGGAAGCATTGCCTCGCAGCTATGGGTTTTCCCTTGATCCGTGTAGAGGTGGGGGTGGGTCTGCCTTTGCTCTCGCTTGCTGCTGCTGCAGCACCTCCCTTCTGTAAGACGTGCAGCCTCTGTAATCAATAAAGATGCACAAACAGCCATGGCTCTTGGTGTCCCCCCAGCCAGGAAGGTGCTACCTCGTGTGCCCCACCACCACGGGCACCTGCCTCACGGCTTGGCAAGGCCAATCCAGTAGCCCTCGGGGCAGGATGGGGCGAGTCCTGATCCAAGGCGATTGCCCTTAGATCCTAAACGTGTGGAGTTTGCGCCCAAACTTGTGGCCCGTGGTGCAGCCGTGAGCAGAGTTCTCTTGCAGGAAACTTGGCCCTTTAAGCTCTGCTCTCTTCAAGTACTTTGCCATGGCTGTGGCCACAAATCCTGCTCCAGAAGCAGAAAGGGCCGGGAATCATGGCCGAGCACTGAAGCAGACAGGACCTGCAACGCCTGGGGCACGCTAGGCTGGCGGAGGAAATGCCCCCTCCCAAAGCAAGGGAGCTTGAGTCCGGGACAAGGATTTGGGGCCAAGGGAGGGAAGGCAAGGTCCCTACAGCTGGCCTCTAGCTAAGGAGAGCAGACGCGACAACGCTCGCCCTTCGCCACGTTCCCTTCTAACAGCTGTTGTGCAGTTGGGCAGCATGACTGGGATTTCCCCCAGGACCCTTCTGCTTCCCCCCCCCATAGGCCCTGGTGCCCTGCCCTTGCTCCCCCCAAGTCGCAGCTGCTCAGCGGGGCCTGACGGATTAATTTCCTGGCCAGCAGGAAGACACCCCAGGCCTGGCCCATGTGCGCTGGAGAGTGAGGGTGGTGGTCTCCATGTAGCAGAAGCCACGGAGCAACTGCTGGAGAGGAGGTCCAGCTCTCCTGCTCTCAGCTGGGCTTCTGAGGGAGCGGTGTGGATGGGAAGCAGGCAGGTCCGCCTGCGGAAGAAAGGAGGGAGGGAGGGAGGGAG